ACATTTACTTTTGATACAAGAAAATCATAATCATCATTGACGGTTAGATTTGAAATCCTACAGTTGAGGATGTGTCATTGTTTGGGCACAAAGTCCAAAATAAAATTTCTCAAATGTTGTGAAACACTTTTATCTATTTGATTTCACATCTAATAGCTAAATGTGATTGTAATATCTTTGTACCAAAAATGAATCGTCTCATTCTATAGAATCTCTTTTTTGAATCCAAAGCAAAAAATAATAATATTTCTCTCATTTTTATCATCAAATTCAGTAAATTTTGTCTCAAAATGTTCCCAACACATTGATATAGGAAATCTCTAATTGAGAAGTTTCTTGAATCAAACCCCAAAAATTCATTTTTTGTTATTTTTTAGCTATTTTTTTTGCCATTTTTATTTCCAAATGTTATTTTGGTTTAGCCAGGATCGTAGTCCATACACCACAGATTTTAAGGATCTCTATCCTAATATGTTAAGAGAGCTGGATCCAGCTTTTTGAGGTGGCTTGATAAATTCTAAAGGTTCAAGACACATCTTATAAAAGCATCTCTTTTCTCGTAGAAAATACAAAGAACATGTTTCTGCAACATACTTACTTTCTTTTTTTAATGGATATGTGTTTAAGACTTGTTTCCTACTATAAGATCAATCTAGCATGAGTGTGATCAATATAGGAATTGGGGTCGTGTTTCCCCCATACAACCCAAGATCCAACTCCCAGAGTGTGGTATTATTGGGATTACCAACAAGTTGGAAGATCCAAGTAATTATGCTTTCAACCAAATACCCTCAATATATTATAATTAATATATATTGCCTACCAGGTTAATGTGAAAGGTGTATATATAATTAAGGGTGCAGTTGGCATACGGATGCATCTGTAGCTGTAGAGGTAAAGTGCACCTTCAAATTTTATCATGGTATATAATTTTGATATAAAATGTTCTTAGGATTATCTCAAAATCTAATTTTATATCTAATTATAAAATTTTAAATTTCAAAAATAGTTAAAATCAAGTAGATCTATAAACATATGAAAATCTTGAAAATGGACGGTGTAGATAATATGTTGTAAAACGCACTATTTCTGAGACTTAAAATTTTTTTATTTTTCATGGTCATACATCTCGATGTCGAAATGATCAATCAATTTTTCAACATTAAAACTACCTTTTCTGATGGATTTTTGAGGTGCATCCATAGTTCTACATTATAAGGTTGCATCCTCATGTAAACTTTTTCCTATAATTAATATACATGAGCTACAACATCTTGTATTTTATGGTAAGTCTGAGTATATTATAAGTATATGTGATTTATTTCTATTCTTACCATATGTATTTGTCTATAATGGACACTAAGTCTTTTATGATAAACATGGGACTCTTCATGTATGAGCTCCTAAGAAATCGAGCAGGGATTTGAGGAAGAGAGAACTCTAAGGTGTTGAAAGTGTGGTTAGGCATAACTAGGGGGGAAGAAGTTCGAATCAGATCCTAAATTAGGGATGGCAGCAGGATAAAAAATTCTGGCATGAGTCCCATGACACTATGTGAGAATGGTTGCCCCCTTGGAGGGGCATATTCTAGCCTGGAGGTAATTTTTTAACGACCCTAAAGAGAGATCTTATGATTGTTTTTGAGACGAGGAAAGAGCCAGCGATATTGGATTTACGCTTCTCAATATTCAAAGAGATGACAATACTGAGGAGCTTTGTTCTCGAATCCCCAACAGCTGCTGTATTTGTTTTTGGTAAAGAGGAAGAAGTCCCAATTCTCGGAAGCTATACAGAAGCGCATTGTTTGTGGTATGTGTGAAGAGCTGAACCTGGATTTTCAGAGACCCCACAGTTACTCAGCCATTAGATATAAGATGTGGGGATCAAATCACAGAGAGGGTGCAAACAAGATAGGAAATTTGGAATTCTGTCATAGTTGATCTTATAAATGATTGGAACTCATAGTATCAAGATGTGGTGGAAGGCGTTGCCCATGGGGTTGTTTTCGTTTTGAGCAAATTATCAAAATGATAACGTTTTTAGTAGCCCTGGGATGGGGCAAAGTGGAGAGGCACCGTGCTACTTATCAGCAGGGGTGTAAATGTGTCAGATTAACCCTGACCCGAACCCAATCTGGTCAGTTTAGTGGGTGACTTGGACCCAATCCCGAACGTGGGCAAGTCGGATCAGCGCAACACAGACCTGACCCACGATGGGTTCTGTGGACCAGACCCAGCCGGGGATGAATATAGGGTCATAAAAGTCCTATGATATTGTGCGGAAATGTACAATTTGGTTCCTGCTAAGATCATTCAGCCAATCGCCCACTCTCTGTCTTCATGGTGCTTCTCATTCTGCAACTCTCTTCCTAGTGAGATCCAGAATCAAAACTCTAACAAACATCATCTCTCTCCCTAGTGAGCTTGAAATATCTCTCTATCTTTCTCTCTAAAAACAATTGCAGATTGCTAGAAGAGTCACTTCCCTAGCCAAAAAATACGCACTTACTCCAATTTCTAGCAGAAATAGAGATCTTTAGCCAAAAACTCCCCCAAATAACTCTCTTATGGCAACCATGGAAAACTGAACCATCTTAAATCTTGACTGGAATGAGAAACAAGATTTGAAGCCCAAATCAGGCTTTGAAGGGAACCAAAAGCCGAGATAGACATATCCAAGTCCCAGAGCATAGCTAGGGCCATTAACGGTGGCTGAAAAATTGGGGCTTTTTGTTTGTTTTTTGTTAGAAAGGGGTGCCAGATAAGGCCATTGGAAGTTCAGGTGATTGGATTATCGTCAAGATCGTTGTGTCCAGGAGGCCCACACACGGTTAGGAAGACTTTCAAGAAACAGTTAATGAAGAGAGAAATCCAAGTCCTAGAGGCTTGAGTGATTTAGCTTGGAGGGGTGGGGGTGGCAACAAGGGGGTAGCATCAGGTCCAGGTACCAACTTGACTAAGTTTCGCATGGACCTGGACCCAGGTCAGGTCCAAGTCATTTGGACCGGGGACCCGACCCGGGTCTAGAAATTGAATAAATAAATAAATAATTTTATATTTTATAATATATATATATATA